AGACAAAAAGAAAATTTTCTAATGAAAATATTAGATCTGTTGTTTCTTAAGACTTGCAGTTTGAATTATAGATGACATGCTAGTATGACGACGTAAGTTGGACATCATTCAGAAAGAAAAAAAAATGTTAAGAATTTGTAGGCAATGTAATTTTAAAATGATGAAAGAAATGTAACGTTAACGATCATTAATATAAATGCAAAGATTGAAGCTTCTTATTTCATAATACTTCTTTATATTAAAGTTATTCCTGAATGAGTTCTGTTAACTTTATTGTGGGGTATGTCCTGTTTTGTATATGTTGATGATGTTGTTGTTTTCTCATCCTATTACACAACACATATTTTATTTCAGATTGCTACTAGGACTGCCGAGCAACTAACTGACAATGTATTTGTTAAAAATTCAACAAAGATAAAGCCATACATCCAAGTTTGTGTTAAGATTTAGTGGCATATGCAGATAAATACATGATAAACTTTAAACAGGTCAATGATAGTAGCTTACAATGTCTCATATTTATGATACCAATTTTAACAAAGTTCTATAAATATGTCAGACTAAATATTCACAAATTGATGAGAATTGTATTATATTTGTGAAATAAAACTGATTCTTCAATAAGTTCCGATCTACGGAATCAAATTGATAAAATTAAATGTATGTAAATACAGTGTACAATAATTCGGTCGATTTGTAGCACTTAACACGTGTATAAATTTCTACTATCAATAAAACGTTTATTTTATACTATACAATGTTGTACTTCTTCTTTGTCACATAAACACCAGGATGTTTCTTTTGTTTTATAGGTGATGGTTTATTCATTTTATATTTCTATGTTTTAAAACTTTTAGTGATATAAACATTTGTTCTCATTTTCAAGATATGCGAAAAAAAAGTAAGGTTTTGTTAAGAATATTTATAGTTTATAAGAAGTTAGAAACTACCATCAAGGAAACTTCCAAATTTTTAAATTAAAACTGTTATAGCCAAAAATCTAGAGGATTAAAGAACTTGTTTATATATCATTGTTTGAAGATGTTTTTTTTTAAATCTGATATTTGATAGCCCTACATTTTGCTAAAATTTGAAAAAAAATGAATAAAAACCGATTTCTAGAAAGAGAAATTGTAGATTAGGGTCTCAAATAGGACGGACGTGTGTGTGATTACTCGTCGTTAGAAACCTGCGACTATATTTGTAACAGTTTAATATTATACCTATGGTAGGAGAAGGCATTAATTTCTGTAAATAAAAGCATAACAATTACTGAACAATTAAAGAGTACAATTGTTTTCAGTAATCTCAAAAATTCAAACATACAATAATGTTGCTCAATAAAATGAAATATTCAAATATTGACATCGTAAAAAGCAATATTACAATTTTTATAAATGAATTAATGACGTATCCCTATGGACCAGTCATTGAATTGATGCTTTTACTTTTTAGCTCACCTGTCACAAAGTGACAGGGTGAGCTTTTGTGATCGCTTTTCGTCCGGCGTCCGTCCGTCGTCCGTCCGTCCGTCCGTCCGTCGTCCGTCCTCCGTCCATCCGTCCGTAAACTTTTACTTTAAATGACATCTCCTCATAAACCACTAAGCCAATTTCATCCAAACTTCACAGGAATGTTCCTTTGGTGGTCACCTTTAAAAATTGTTCAAAGAATTTAATTCCATGCAGAACTCTGGTTGCCATGGCAACCGAAAGAAAAAACTTTAAATATCTTCTTTTAAAAAACCATAAGAGCTAGAGCTTAGATATTTGGCATGAAAAATCTTCTAGTGAGTGTCTACCAAGTTTGTTCAAATAAAAGCCCTGGGGTCAAAATTGGCCCCGCCCCGGGGGGTCATTGATTTTCCCTATATGCATATAGTAAAAACTTAAAAAATCTTCTTTTAAAGAACCCAAAGAGCTAGAGCTAAGATATTTAGCATGAAACATGTTCTAATAAGTGTCTACCAAGTTTGTCCAAATAAAAGACCTGGGGGTCAAAATTGGCCCCGCCCCGGGGGGTCATTGATTTTCCCTATATGCATATAGTAAAAACTTAAAAAATCTTCTTTTAAAGAACTCAAAGAGCTATGGCTAAGATATTTAGCATGAAACATGTTCTAATAGGTGTCTACAAAGTTTGTTCAAGTAAAAGACCAGGGGTCAAAATTGGCCCGGCCCCAGGGGGGTCATTGATTTTCTTTATATGTGTATAGCAAAAACTTAAAATCTTTGGAAAAACCCAAATAGCTAGAGTTTAGATATTAAGCATGAAACATCTTCTAGTAAGTGTCTACAAAGTTTGTTCAAATAAAAGCCCTGGGGTCAAAACTGGCCCGGCCCCAGGGGTGTCATTGTTTTTAACTATATGTGTATAGTAAAAACTTTAAAAAAATCTTCTTTTAAAAAGCCCAATGAGCTAGAGCTTAGATGTTTAGCATGAAACATCTTCTTATGGGTGTCTACCAAGTTTGTGCAAATAAAAGTCCTTGGGTTAAATTGGCCCTGCAACGTTTGGGGGGGGGGCTATATACAGGTGAGCGACCTCAGGGCCATCATGGCCCTCTTGTTTTTAAAGTGTCAAGCGTTGCTATTTTATGATAAATAAATCATGCATGATATTTGAAATGGCACTTTTAAATTATCTGGTTGTTTGTATCTTATGAGACCTATTCTATTTTTTTATCTTATTTATTATAAACAGTTTCTCCCAGAATCACGTGACTACAAGTTGTATGTTATTGTTATAAAATCTATTAATAGTAACAAATGGCTGATGCCAGCCCGCATAGCTCAATCGGTTAGAGCGCGAGACTTGTAATCTCGACCTTGTGGGTTCGATTCCCGGGCTGGCCAACTAAAATTACTAATCAGTCTTTCGGATGAGACTTTAAATCGAGGTCCCGTGTATGGGTGCTTAAACACTTGGTACGCTTAAGAACCAGGAGAAGCTTCTGGAATTGGGGCATCTTTCTGTATCTGTAATTGCACTATCCTCCAAAAAAATAAAATGACTAATACTCTTCTGGAGGACTCGCCCATATGGGCAACCGGTGGCGAGTATAAATAAACGCAAATACACACACACACAAATGGCTGATAAGACTGACATACAGGTATCTTGTGAAAGGTTTGCAGCTGATAAAGTGCAAATCAAAGTAATTTTGTATGAAAAATCTCGGCCGGAATCGTAATGGATACAAAGAGAAAACTAATAAACTATCTTTGTGTTGATAGTTTATCGCACTGAAAGGCAATTAAACGTTAACTTTATCGTATGTAACGACAGGAATATTGATTTCAGCTAAATAATACAATGTATATATTTTTCGATAGTGCATAAGAATAAATTTTTTATGCAGACACCACTTTTACAGTAGAATTGCATTGTTTTATGCAATAATTAAGCATATATATTTTCATAGTCACTTTGCAAATATTCGATGATCGGTAATAATTTGTCGGTAATTATCGGATGCTGAAGAAAACCATACGGAGTTCAAATGTATGGTACAACGGTATATGTATAAAGTAGAATTACAAGTAGAATTATAATCATATCATTTGCTTTACAAGCCTCGATGACAAGGTGTTCGATTTTAAGTTAGTTTCAAGTTCGATAAAGTGATTTTTTATGTTTTCTTTTATAATACTTTTTGTATTTTGCAAAACTTAACCGTTTATCAAAATCATGAAATAAAAAAGTGCTAGAAATGAAACACACGATTTATCAACTTATGTTTCATAAAGTTAAAAGATATGATAAAAATCAATTTATGAAAACTACACACAGGATTTGTCCGAGATTCGAACTTGCGCCTACTACATGTAGGTTACAACTTCGTCATACTTACCACTAGGCTATCGAGCAGTATTAATTGATATAATTATACATGTATACTTGCAATAAAATCGTTAACATTAATCATAATAAGTTATGTAAGCAAACGAAACAGCTCCCGAAAATTATTGAGTCTCGGGTAAATATTGCCAAACAATACTTGCTTATTTAATAATGATAACAGATTCTTGACAAAATTGCTAAGCAAGTATGCTTCAAATATGATGTTTTATTATAACATGACATAAATTTATTGCATAAAACTCTCAGCAAGAAAGATATAATTGTGGCAAGTAAATGAAAACGTGTTTTTGAATAAACATTACTCAACTTATTGTTCCTCTTTTCTTTATACTCGAACCATTAAACTGATATTTTCTTTTATTTATGATAATACAATCATATTTCTATCCGGCGACTTGATGCTTTAGCATCAAAATCTCTACTTGTTTATATATTGATGTTTTAAATTATAATAGTAATTAAGCACACAATAAGACAATAAAACAAGAAAAAGTTACGAAGAAATTTATTCTTATAACTGGAAATATATATATACAACATAAAATAGGTAGAGTTAATCCCTGAAAAAGAATTTAAATCTATGCATCTCTTAATCTACTATACTATTGAAACGTTTTATAAAGGTGCAGCGTTGTTTGGTTTATATCAAGCCCAACTCCGTAGCATAACACTTTTTGAAATTTACTTCCTCGTTAGGATATTTGTTTTATCGATTGGTATATGTATAGTGACAAGGGTCTTAACAACCATTGTGATTATAAACTAAGTGGAATCGAAACAAGAAGTAAATTAATGCTTAAACATTTTTCAAGGAAAGGAAAAAAACTATGATAGCCTTTTTACTTCATTTTGGATATTAATATCACTATTAATAGTGGACATTATAAATGTATTAGTAGTTATTTTATCATACGTAAAAGTCTATCATTAAGATGAATTTAATGAAGGACTTTTATGTTAGCACTGAAGGGTGACGCCATCAATTTTCAAACTTGAGTACCTGAATACATCTAAATTTATTTAGAGAGAATAATCAATATCCAAGGTGATACATCAAATATTTGTCGATAAATCTTATCTTTTTGAATTTAAAGCGAAGAAGTCACTTCATAAACTGTTTTCAAATTGCAAAAGTAATGGGCAGTAGTTCAAGTGCTGTTCATAAGAAAGAAAAGGATTCTGTCATTGAGAAAAACAAAAATGTGGAGTCTTCTAAAGACACCAAGAAGGACGCTGATCCTGTCAGCAGAAAATCTGGTACAAACGAAATTGAGACCTCAGATTATAAAAGAAGTGATTCTAAAAAAGTAAAAAATGGAGATAATGACACAAGAAACGAACAAGAAAGTCATATTAAGTCAAAAGAAAGTGTCTTGCAATCAGATGTTCCAGAGAATCAAACATCCAACATAGCTGAACTCACTGGTGACAATTGCCGAATATCTTTGCCATCAAACCAAACAATTGAAACAGATGATACGGAAAACAAAGAAAAGGAAAAGGAAAATAAGAAGAGAAAATTTAAAGAGAACTATGAGAAACTGAAAATAAAACTTATGACTGGTCTGAAGAATCTAAAGAGCAAAAATGAAGGAAGTGAAATATTGCATAGAGCAGTAGTGAAAGCATTAGATAAGGCTAGTCGGCTTTATCCAACTGACTATAAGGTATTACATTTTAAAATATTTACATAAAGTCTCTTTTTATAACAGTACGCATTTGCTGATTTTGTTTTTCTCTCTCCTATTTAACAAAATAAAAGATTTTTTTATCAACTTCTTACATATTTTCATTAATTTAAACTAGAATGTATTTAAATTGTTTTTTGGGTGTTGACATATAGCTTATCCGTTCCAATGTACTGCTCTAATATTATCATTTATTTTCAGGAGGAAATAATGGCAAGTTATGCGAAACAGCAAGCAACACTCGAATTAGTAAGACGCGAAAAGACAAAATTGTTACATCGGTATGGGAAATTGTAATTATCTTTATAAAACGACCGACAGCAATTAATTGTAATTTACATTTTTATAATATAAGTGTTATGTTCGATAGGGTGTAACTTACATTGTTTTTATCAACTTTTTTAACGGTTTGGTTTTTACGTCGCACCAACAATGCTTAGGTCGCATATGGCGACTTTTCAGCTTTACTGGTGGAGAAAAAAACCCACAGCTCTAATCATATATATATATATATATATATATATATATATATATATATATATATATATATATATATATATATATATATATATATGTATATATGTATATATATGTATCCGTGGATGCGACTAAATCAAAAATTTGATAGAGGTGGTCAATAATAAATAAATGAGCCTGAAAATTAATCTTTGGGTTTAATGTTTGTTTGTTGCTGTTGGTGATGATGATGATTATGATGATGATGTTTTTGAACATTTATTTTATTTCGATTAAATTATTGCTGTTCCAGTGTTCATTGTAATGGGAAAAAAACTCTTTTAATAACTACGTGTATATAATGTGATTAAAAGAAATTTATTAAATAAGAATTGTTTATATATGTCAATGTTATGTAATGAGGAGCGTTTTCATGTGTTATATACTAGTAGGAGCACAAATGTAATTGTAATAATGGATGTAAGAAAATATCAGCGTATAGGAAGTACCCCCACTGATATTCGTAGGTAAATGGAGCGAGATAGGTCACTTATTTTTAGTATTTGTGCATACTATTGGCTGCATAAACTCGCAACTTTGATATTTAATCAATAAGATAGAAGTTCGGACAAGGACAAAAGAAAAAATCATTTAGAATAGTGAAAAAGTCTAAACTAATGACGTATGATGGTCTGGGCCATGTTCACCATATTTATATTATTTTACAGGTTATCTGAGCTTGCATCAAGCCGATTGCGACACAACAATCCCGACATTGCAGATCTTAGTGATGAAAATAGAGCTACTAAACTGGCAGAGAAACTCTCTGAGCTGTATGACAATGAATGGACTGACCTTTTTGAAGCGACCAAACATTGCAAAACAAAATGTATAGATGAGGATAGATGTATTGCTGAAGGTCTTAGAGATATTCTTCAGGTTAAATATTGTATTGCAGTCATTGGGAAAATAGTTATTGTAATAATAATAATAATAATAATAATAATAATAATATATATATAATATATATAATGTATATTTTAAAATGTGATATTTATTAATCTTTGGTGTTATTTATGATGGAACAATGTAAATAACGTTTGTTTATCACTGATATATATTTACATACTACTCAGCCATATATTCAGTAAATGTAGTTTTAAACACAATAAGAATTATAAAGATTATTGTTTCACTGGAACTTATAGAATGTTTGACTTACTGATATGCCATGATATATTATATTTTCAGTATTGCTGTAAAGAGTGTCAACGTGTTGCTGAGGATCAACGTGTCCATTTACTTCGAAATCTTAAAACAAATACACCTGAAGTCTTTACGAATTCACCACAAAGATTACAAATGCTTATAAAAGAATTCCAGAAGAATCTTCCACAATACACTTTGCCGAAAATCAAGAAAGATGTAAGAAAGTTTATTTCATATACTAGTAACATGTATATATGGATATGTTCATATGTTCTTTACGATGTATTGATATTTTTTGATAATACGAAAAAAATTAATAGTTAATTATAATTAAAATTATGATGACGACGATGATGATGGTGATCATAATGATGATGATGATGATGATGATGATGATTGTAAAACATTCCTACTTGAGAATCCAACTAGAAAATGGTTGTTAAACGATCAGAGTATGCCGTTTACACCAATCATATCCTAACTGTCGCTCCACTACCTTTCGCTACGTAACGGAGCGAAAACGATGATCTGATTTAAATGAGATTGCCGTTTACACATGTCCTTTGCACTGCAGCGTCATGTCTTGGTACATGATGTTAGCGTTAATGATGAAATTTGTTTTATTTATGAGAATAATGAAAGGTATTTTGCACAATTATACGTCAAATATTGGTTTGGTTAAAAAAAATATGCATCATATGGCCGTCGGTCCAAAACAGCAACATCTGCTTAGATGGTTGAACCAGTGACAGAATTAGTTGCTACTGTGCAAGATACACCACACTATAGGCAAATTATTAGTATGTTTGACATCTTACTAGGAGTAACTTATACAACTATCGAACGCTCTTTGAAAATGAGACAGATTTATGTTAGATGAATTATAGAGAAAACGTACGCGTGTGTTATGCGCACAAAAAATTATTGCTGAACAATTTCCAAGAGTTTAGGAAATGCCGTCATTGCTGACAAGACAATGACTTCTTTAAGCCCAAAACAAAAGAATCAATACAAAATATGGACATCGAAGTCTTTTAAAAGACAATACATAGCAAAGGGGACTACACGTGTCCAGAAGGTAATGTATGTCATATTCTGGTTGCTGTTAGACTAATCAGATAATTCGAAGTCATAATACGGAGCAAGGCCAGTAGCAATTACAATAGTTACAAAATACTAGGTATTGTATTTGTTTTCCAAAGCATAACAGTGTATATCATTTGTGTTTCAGATTACTGATAGCGCACAGAAAAGTCTGAAAGAGAATATAGTTATTAAGTGTTCAAATAAAACGAAGAAACAGTTTGATCCATTTATCAATTTATGCATTGAAATATCGTGGTATACACAAATTCAAGACCCTCCTTTACATCTTGTTTTTCATTCGGACGATGCGGATGTATCCAATTTTCGACCATATACAACTTCTGGTTCTCAACTGGACTATGTACTTTGGCCTGTTCTACTTCTGCACGACAATGGATCGGTAGTAGCTAAAGGTGTAGCTCAATTTAAGGCAGAAAGTGAAACAAAATCTGAAAGTGCGCAAGCGAAAAAAACTGAAAATGCACAAAAGGAGACAACGAATGAAAAGTGTACCAAAACAGCAGATTCTGTTTGGTAGTAAAAACATCACACAAAATATAAAACATTTTATTCAGATCAATAATAATGTTAAATACATTTTTCCATGTCTTATGTTTTTTCTAGATTTGTACAATAGTCTTTTAATGTAAACGGGATGAAGGCCTAATTATAATTTCTAAAATTAAATTGACTTGATCAATTATAATTGTAATTGATATCTAGAATGGATTCAAAATAATTGATAATAATCTGAGAAATTATTTTCCGTTTTGTAATAGCATGTGATATTAATCTTATTTTGATATAAAACCATTAAAATTTGGAAGTTTTTTAATTCATGCTGAAATGTATTGATGTTTTGAAGAATTCGCTAGTTATTGGGTTATTTATGATTTTCACAATTTAGCTTTTATCTTGTCCGATCTTCGTTATTGTATTAAATTTACGGAAGTTGAAATTTGATGGCTTCATTTCACAAATATATTACATATCCGATTATGGCGACTATGAATTAGTCTGTTGAAATATGATATAATAAATTGTATATTCTTTCACCAGTCATTTATATGTTCAATAATTAAATAGTACTGAAATTGAATAGCAAAAAATTGTACATGTTTTAGAACACTATTTATGGTGGCTACTTTTATTGTGTTATTTCACAAAAGACGTTTTTGTCCGCATTAAAACTGCTAATAAGCGTTGGCTCTTTGTTGTTATCATTAAAGCCACATTAATTTATGCCATATGAAGGAAAACATTTTTCCTTCCTTAGGAAGGACAAATATTACTTTGTAATTAAATAATGGTTTAAATAATAGTGCTTATCACCTGAAGCGCTGAATGTGAAACTTTCGTCACAGAAGTATCAAATATAAACAAGAAAGTAGCTTGACCTCCATACAAAATATTAAATCAATACAACAGTGAAAATTACAAAAAAAGCAACAGAAGCAAAAGGTGATTCAGCTTCATATACAAATAATTGGCTAAAAACTTACTTTTTGGAAACTATAACATGACACCTTGAGAAATAAAGATAGCAACATTTCTGGCACATAAAGGGCAGCTTTACTTATCTGTCTAACCAAGGATATCTATAACTTTTAGATATTTCAATTCAAACAATAACAATTTGAACTACCTTTATTACGTTGTCAGTTGTCACATACAAATAAGTTTGTAATAACAAGTTGATTTATTCCAAACATTTTAACATAAAACAAAGTAAAATTGATCAATAATAGTAATTAAATGACCTTTTTAAATTAAAAGAAAAAAGAACACTCTTTAAAATAGCCAGAAATGAGTTACGATTTTACAAGAATGAAAGAATCCCTACATTGGTGAAAAGGTGGCTAAGTTCGTTGACTAAATAAAAGCTGCCTTGGTGTCCATGAGGCAAAGCAAATGCAATAAGACAATCTGGGTATATATACTCATTTTAGAAACATGATCATGAAATTCCCATGATTTTGTGTTAGTTTAAAGTAGAGAGTACAAATGTATATAAAAAAGAAATTAGATACTGCAAACTAAATAAATATGGTAGTCATTAAATTAAGGTCGTTTTTATTTGTTTGGATCGTCAGACCAAACAAATAATTGTAGCGAAATTTCAGACCCTGATGCTGTTAATTGCAAATGTCGAAAGTAGTCCGCTTATATGTACACTAACGCCGAAAAATTCAGGGGAGATCACTGCGTAAAGATTGTCAAATGACAGGCGCATTAATGTTCAAGCAAAATAGTTTCCAAATGGTCGAAGATTTCTAATATTGTTTTATTCTTTATAGAAATACATGCTTATAGTAAGCTCCATTATTATTTACATCTGTTTTCGAAATAATAAGGGTTACAAACCCTAATTTAGAATAATGCGGTTTTCTTCTTGCTATTTTCACATAACTTCACCGTGGTCGAGTGGTTTGCACGCTTGCTCAGGAAGCGAGAGGTCTGAGTTCAAAGCCCAGTTAAGGCAACTCATTTTTTTTTAATTGTTTAAGTCAAATAAACATTGAATTGAACAGTGTTGCAATTAGTCTTATAGCCAATTTACTACAGTTAAAACACTGGAAACAGCATTGGTGGCACTATACAAAAATAAATTGGTTTATAATATCACAACCTTCACCTTTCTGACATTCTGAGACCCAAACAAATTCAGCGCCTTCTTTGCTTTGATTTAGAATGATAGCGTGTACTAGTATATCAAATATTTAAATTGCAGTTTCACTCACAATATGACTAACGTTGACGCAGAGTTTATCAAAGATTTGGAGACATGCCTAGAAGTAGCAGATCAATTATCTAAATTAGACACAGATGAAGCCAGACTGTTCGTTTCTGAGCAACTACAAAATTTGCACACATTTCTACAAAGGAAACAAAAGGATGTAAGTTAAAGTAGTTTAAAAGCATTCATATTATGAAGCCAAGAACAGAAATGAATTAAGTTTAAAAAAATACAAATGTGTATCAAAGTTTTTGCACACAAATGATGTCAAAAAAATCAGAAACGAAATAATTTATTCATGATGCGTACATTACTAACATAATTGAATGAAAAGCGATCGTTTTGCCTGGCTTTGATATTTCGTTTTAAAATTTGAAATGCAATTATATGTACTAAACCGATTAAAATTTTAACTGTTAAAGGATAAAAAGTCAACATAGAGTTATTTATCTTGTAGAACAAAGTTTAAAGATCCTGTATGTTGTAATTGAGGTTATATACACACTTAAGTGAAATTATATATATGTATATAATTATGCTTATAAAACAATTTTCAAACATCGAAGAATATGTAAAATATGTACTGCAAATATTTGTACATATTATACGTAATCATTAAAATATATGCATTCATTTCTTATTGAAAAATTTGACTTAGACTTTATAGAAAATACATTTTTATTACCTCCATTTATATACACGAAATGTTAAATTCAGTAATATCTTTATAAATAATGCTTTTTAGAACTTACAAGATTGATAAATCTTAATTTGAGCTTCATATATATGATATAAAACCATAAAAAATAAATTGTGTAACAGGATCTTTAAAAAGTACTTAAGTACTTTCTGGATATTTCATTTCTTTTTACCAGGCTGAAGATAAAATTGGAGAGGAAATTAAAAAAGAAGAAATTGAAATTGCACAGCTGAAGAAAAGGTTTAATATTCCTCGCTAAATATTTTCTTGTTCGTTTCTATAAATAATAATCATATTTGTTATTTCAAGGCTAAACAGACTGTACTTTCAAGATTTTAAATGTTTTCACTTATACTTATATTTGCATTACTCTCTCATATAATCAAAAGTTCCTCAAACATAATTGATTTATATAATTAATAATTCCTCCATGAAACTATTTACTCGATATTTCAAGTTTGATTTGGCAATGATTCACCATGAAATGTAGCCTTTACATTAGTTGTAAATATTAAAGTTTTGAGAAGGATGAAATGTACAAACTAATGTAAACGTTTATTCTAGGATAGAGCGAGCAACAACAAGTGATGGTGCAAGTGAGAGTGATGTAGCGTACACAGATTTAAATACGTTGTGGTCTGATCTTAAAGAAAATTACTGGCACCGTGTGTTTAATGCTTTCATTCGCGAGACGAGCCTAAGTGTGAAAGAAATATTAGATATTTTAATTAATATCCTCAAGGTATGATATTTACATGAAGTATGTGTATGATAATGAAGCACATTATATACCTAAATATGTGATTGAACTACAGCAACCATTTTCGAATTTTTTACTGCAGACTGTCTCTACCTTAAATCGGTCAGTTATATATTGTTTAAAATATACATTTATAAGACATATGTCTTCAGGTATTTTTTTTTTCTGAAATTGTTTGGGAGTATACTATGACTGTCGCAAAGTACTAGTAATTCAATGTAATTTATTTCTATCGTGACTTCCCATAGGTTCTCTTTGAGGTATGCAATCTGAAAAAAAAATTGCGATGCTTATAGTTGGTTATTGCTATTAATATTTTGCTGTTTGTCTTCTTTGTCAATATTACTTTTGATTTATCAATTCCAGGTATGTTTTACCAAATGTAAGGACAGGGCATTAAGAAACAGAACAGATATGAAGTTTCAAGTTTGTTATCCCGGAGAAAAAACATCAAACAAAAACCTAAAGCCAAAGGAGCAAGATCAGGTCATTTTACACATTCTTATTACATAATATGGAATTCATGTTGTTGTTTAATGTAAATGACTTAATCGCTTCGAACAATACATGGAAAGTGTATAAGTATATTATATTTAACAAGCGTTTATATAACCACATTATTATCCTTAAGAAGTAACTGATTTTCATTAAAACTATTTATCTTAGTCACAGAAATCACTCGAAACAAAAAAAGCAGATACAGCCGTTGTTACTCTTAACTGTGTATAATTTATGTAAGAAGTGTACACATTTATCTTTAAGTTACTTTTTTCCTTTGTAATAACTGTTATCGTATGTATTTCCCAACCTGGGTGTACGTAAACTATAAGAGGGACATTTCTTCTTCATGTCACAAATAACATTGAATAATATTTAATACGTTAATACTTAAACGAATTATCTTGATATCATTTTCAGAACCTTGACAGCCTCTGTAGGATATGTCAACACAAGTCAACACCTTTTTGCATAGCTTCCATACAAGAGGTATTTTTATTGAATTAGATAATTACATTTTTTTTCTGTCTGCAACTTTCATGACATTTATCCGAACAAGTTATCATTAGGTAATATTTAAAGTAAACGTTGTAAGGTTTAAATTTTCTTTGATGCCATTTATTCCCTAATGGGTTTATCTTAAATGATAAGTATAAAACACAAATATCACAATGTCCGTCAAGATATCTTGTCTAAGCAACCACTGACCAAACAAAACTTAAAGAAATCTTAGCAATTAAGTGGAGATTTCACATTTATTAAGTAGCAATTACGGTTAAATAATTTTTCACCACAAGTTATGTTACTTTTTATGGGCTAAAATCGTTCTCGGCAATCATTAACAGGAATTAATCGAAACATAATGGGAAAGTCCATCAAATTATCATCCTTTAGGCCTTCCAGGTTTTTAATATTTTTTAGTGAAACTGTTATAGAATTGGCCGGACTATTCATTAGCAACTTCTAAAGGAAATAACTGAAACTCAAAACTAAAAATATGGGCATATTGGCAGCATGTTCCGGCTAGATGATTTCTCATAAAGTGTATGCTTCTTTCCTGATTATCTTCCATTAATATTTGTGTCCGACATTATTTCCCAGCATTCACTTCTATGAATTATCAATGCTTCCACGGATTCTTCACTACTTAGTGGAAGTATTCATATTATTAGCATGATGTGGTTCAGTAATAGTTCACAAAGTAGTGCCCCTCAAATGTCTTTCAGCTGTATCTGTTGTATGGACTATGTATCTGCTGAAATGTAATCATTAAACTTAGAACCAAGAGGATTCAAGAATGAAATTCAAAAAGTTCAAAAGTTGTGTTGTAAAGGTTTTTTTAAGTATTCACAATGAAAGATTACATATAGAGTACTTGCTGTAGGCAAGAACGTAACTAGTTTTCATTTTCATTTGATCTAGAGGATTTTCCTTGCGTTTAGGTCAATTACACATTTTTCCTACTCTCTAGTTTCCGGAGCATTCATCGTTCCATCGATATCATTTTTTTTTTCATTTTTCATTTTTATAAATTTACATTAAAACAGCCTGTTGTTTGTTGCTGTTTAGTATCAAACCATTTGTAAAAGTCATGTTTCATTGCTTTTTGAAGGCTGTTGTACCAGAAGTAAAAACAGTGGGGTCAATCTCCAAACAGTTCAAGTACAAGTCTAAGGACCTTTCTAAAGAAATTGAGAACTACCTAGAGAAATGTGTAAAATTCTGTTGGGTTGCATGCCTTGAGGAGCCAGAAATTATTCTCGTTACGGAACCCAAGAAGGAGTGCAAGAAAATAGCGAGTGAATTTATAAATCTTGATTCTACCATATACATGTCGAGACCAAACGCTGCATATGTCGAATGGCCGGCAATTGTACAAGACAGTAAAGTTCGAGTCCAATGGCAACTTAATCTTGCGAATCAACCACGACCGGAACCAAAAGATTTACGAGGAGAACAAAGTCTGGACTATCGTGTTGCAGGTATAGAAGGTGCGGATGGGGTAATAATGGATGATCCCGATGATAGGGTCAATGATGATGGTAAAACAACACCATTTCAATCAAGTGATGACACAGATAAAGTCAAGGACGAGACACACACAAAAAATGAACATAACGGCGTGAAGGAAAAGGCAAAAGGGACTGACCAAAAAAATAATAAAGCCTCTAAAGGCTACAAAAACCTCGTCCAGGGACATCCTAATACCAGATTTTAGATAGACTTTCATTTGAAAGATATGTTTTCACCCCTAAATGCTTATGACGGTCTGCAATTTAGAGCTGAACATTAATGAATAAAAGATTGGGTTTATTCCTAGTACACTATGAGAAAAACTAACAAACTAACCTTAAAATTTCTTTCATATAGGAGAAATCTTTTATTGGAAATGTGAACTAACTGTCGTCGGCAAAATGTTTCGTTATACATGTAATTAAGAGAGATTCAGAAATGTCATTAATATAGATTAAAAATAAAAGTGAACCAAGGGCTGAGCATTTGGGGTACTCTTCCGCCTAAGTATTAAAGAAAAACATTTTGAGACGTATTATATAGATAGTTATTGAACCGTTAGATCATTTTTTCTTGAATTACATAGTTTTAATTTGTATATAAGACCTTTGTGTTAAACATGATCAAACACTTTTAAGATTGCAAAATGTAATATATGTGATTCTTTATCGAATATGTGCAGAATGTTAACACTATTGTTTAAATTTATCTATATTATAAGTTGTTAAATGTTGATTGTACGAAGTTGAAAATAATTATCATTGTCCTACAAATAATATTTTCATATGAAGTTGTTGGTCGTAAATCACAGAAAAAGGCAAAATTGAAACTGTTACATTTTTGGTTTGACTGAGTCTATTCATGAACTAATCTTTTTATGAAAGAACCATAGAAACTTTCATTTGGCCCTGATTTTTAATGATCACCGAAGAGAGAGCATAAAGTCGCCGCTTTGTTCGTCCGATCGTCCTCTTTTTTTGTCCGTGTCATTACTCTGAAGCTGCACAAGGTATCAACAAGAAACTTTGAATGGAGATATATCTCATTGAGTAGAAGTGCAATGCAAAAGAACCGTAAATCTGCCTTTCCTAATTTGCAGTTATTGCCCTGTGTTCATTTTTACACATTGAACACTGTCAGGGACACAACTCTGAAACTACAAGAGATATCAACAAGAAACTTTGTAAGAAGGTAACTCGTATTCTCTTGATGTGCACTGCAAAAGAACCGTAACTCTGCTTTTTCTACTTTTGGAGTTATTGCCCTTTGATCATATTTACATATTGTATTTTATCAACAAGAAACTTTGTGGGTAGATATATCTCATTGAGTAGAAACGCAGTAAGCTCTGTCATATCTAACTTTGGAGTTATTGCTTTTTCATAACTCTGTGGTGGCTGATTTGTGCCATTCGTGTTTTCGCCCCGCGACCCCGCCAAGCGAAAAGTCGAGAAATAACAAGTTAAAACGGGGGGGGGGTCGCGGGACAAAAACACGCTAATAAGCGGGGGTGCGGGGCGAAGTTTAATTAATAAAACTTCGCTCCGCGGGGGCGCAGGACGAGATTTAAAAAATAAAACGGCTGGGGCGCGAAGCGAAAACACGCTTATTAGCGCCCCCACTCATTAGCGTTTTCGCTCCGCGCCCCGCCATTTTAACTTGTTAATTATCGACTTTTCGCTTGGCGGCGTCGCGGGACAAAAACACACTAATTACCGGGAACGCGCGGCGAAGTTTTATTTATTAAACGCTAATTAGCGTGTTTTTGTCCCGCGACCCCGACGTTTTGTTTCTTAAGTCTTAAGTTTTATATATTAAACTTCGCCCCGCGCCCACGCTAATTAGCGAGTTTTCGCTCCGCGCCCCCGCCATTTTAACTTGTTAATTTCGCTTTTCCCTTGGCGAAAACACGAATGGCACAAATCAGCCACCATATAACTCTGAAATTACATGAGGTATCAACAAGAAACTACTTCTCTGTCCAAAACCTTTACGGGGAGCCATCATCCGGTTCGACCGGCTCTTGCTTAAGTTGTTTATCGTTTCAACAAATATACAGTCTTGATCAAGGTTTATAAAACACGATTCTCTTATTGTTTACTATGAATTTTTAAGTCTGTTGCTTATTTTTCACATATTTAACATCGTATTGTTCGTTTCTTATATATCAATCATTACTAGAAAACGCTTTATTGCTTTTTGAAGACTTTAGTATCAGAAGTAAAAAACATTCTGCGTGTACTGCATGGAAGTTGTCGTGTTTGTTACAAAGGCCGTCTTTGTTAATTATCTTTTATGAAAAACATTAAATAGTCAAAGAATAAGCTTTCTAAAATGCACTCAAACCGTGCTATGGTCCATTTCACAACAGTTTCTTCAAAAATAAATTCATAATACCTGTACCAATAAGGACAATGTGCTTTGCCTTTACTTGCCTCATCGAGATACAAAGTACTTTTGCTATTTGCACGCTTAAATTAAGATATATGTATAATTTATATTTATTTAGTTAGTTCGATCTTCAATGCTTTTGCCTCTGCGGGCCTGTGTTTTCTTAACTTTGCCACTACCAGACATATTACTTTCTGTAAAAAACATATCACTTTTTGAACACACTCGTATTTTCTTAAAGTTATTTAGTACTTTGATATATGCAGGTCAAATTGTGTGTCAGAGATAATGTCTTTATGCGGAACAACAACGTGATTAATGCACACTGTAGTCTTACATATAAACTTAAGCAAAATTTAATCTCTAATATTAAAGTCCCTTTGAAAACTATAAACATGGTATACAGAAACCTTGTTTTAATTTTTTGTGTAGAAATAATTATTGGATTATGTCAAGCTCGAATGAATGTTTTATTTTTAATGGCGGACGATCTACGACCGCAAATCGGCGCTTACTCCGGATCAAACTTCCCGGCATCAGTTCATCCACAGATGCACACGCCAAATTTGAATGCCCTCGCTTCTAAGAGTCTTCTTCTGAAACGCGCGTATGTTCAACAAGCTATCTGCTCACCAAGCAGGGCATCAATACTTACTGGACGCCGACCGGATACAACGCACGTTTATGATTTGCATACAAATTTCAGACATTCTGGCGGCGACTTCACAACTTTGCCTGAACATTTTAAAAACCATGGTTACAGATCAATGGGTATGGGGAAGATATATCATGGAACAGCTGACAGCGGCGGTAGAGATCCACAATCATGGTCAGAAACATATTTTCATGGACATAATTATGTAACAGGTAATAAGAGTTGGCAAGCAATACCTGACGCTGATCTCCAAGCTAAGCCTCTTATTGACAAGCAAGTCGCTGATGAAGCAGTTAAAGCACTACGTCAATTTGCACCAAAAGCAAAAACAGGCGAGGAAAACTTTTTCCTTGCCGTTGGTTTTCGCCGACCACATTTGCCTTTCGTTTTTCCAGCTTCAATAATGGATAAGTACTATCCAAGACATTCTGTTCATTTGCCATCAAACCCATATGCTCCTGTCAATATGCCAAATATAGCATGGTCTACTTATGGTGAGCTTAGAACACAATATGCAGATATATCAGCTTTACATGCGAGTGGTGCAATAAACACAACATTACCAGACCAGGTAACCTTGGATCTAAGACGTGCCTACTATAGCGCTGTTACGTTTGTAGACTCCCTTGTTGGTGACGTCATCACTGAGGTAAATCGCCTCGGTCTGTCAAGTAATACTATAATATCGTTTGTTGGTGATCATGGATATCAGTTAGGTGAACATGGGGAATGGTGCAAACACACAAATTTTGAAATTGCTACGCATGCGCCGATGATGATACGTGTACCAGGACTAACGGATCACGGAATAACTACGAGTAAATTAACAGAGTTTGTAGATTTGTACCCTACTATAGTCGAGGCCGCAGGTCTTGGAAAAGTTCCTCTTTGTCCAGAGGATTCCTCACACACTAAAGTTTGTCACGAGGGAACAAGCCTTCTGCCCCTTATCAAAAATCAAAATGTAACGCTGAAGAGATTGGCTTTTTCTCAATATCCTCGTGGTAAGCATATTATGGGATATTCTGTTCGTAATTATAGATACCGCTACACTGAGTGGGTAGATTTTACTTACGCTCCTGTCTACAAACCCAACTGGAGTAATATAACGGGAGTAGAACTGTACGATCATGAAGTTGATCCAGAAGAAAACCATAATAATGCTTACAACACCAGATATCAGCAAGCTCGAACGCATTTGAGTGACCTACTTCACAAAGGTTGGAGACAACACCATACCAGCATAGGATCTTTGTTAGTTGGCAAATGAACATTAACATAGAACTGAGTGAATCTTGTATCATTATACAGTTGATGTGTATGAAAACTAAAAATGTTTCTTGATAATTTGTTATTTCTATTGAACATATTTATTGCAAAAAATTAGTCATCCTGTCAAGTTTGGGGATAAGTTTCTATCCATCTAACACGCCTGTATTGTGTAAAGATTGAGTGTTGGTTACATTAGATACAGACATCTGCTTTCTATTAGAAAATTCTCGTAGACAAAAGATTTCGAACAGTTAGAAAGAGATTTAAACAATAATTTGAATAAGATGTCTATTGAAATCAATTATTATCATATCGAAAAATTCTTAGACACTTAATACGAAAGCGTAAACTGTTATTACTATTCACAATAGAAGCATGTTATTAATGAAGAAGAAGAAAAAATCAATGAAAATTGAAAGTTTTGGTTCGCGGTTATTTGCCCCAACCCAAACCGCGCCCTCCCATCCGTTTCCCTGGAGATAGACACATTAAAAAATTGAAGCAGTTCCAAAAACAAAGTTTAGTAGCTTATTATAAAAATTAGACAGAGACCGTTACTACAAGACTAAATGTTGTCTACAATTCTATTCATTAATTTACGACAGTGCATACTTAAAGGGGCTTCACTGAGGTTTTTTAGATGGCTGGACTTCGAGAATAATGTTTCAATTGATGGTGGTGTTTACCAATAACATAAGGTGCAAAATTTCGGATCTTTGGCTGACTCCGTTTTTTCAGAGTAATTATTCTAATTGCGACTAAATTAACAAAGATTGAAAAGCATTGAAACGCTTTTCACTCATATCTGGCTAAGATAAGCATAAAAATACGATTTTCAAATCATTTTTGAATATATTTCTTTATCATCTGTTGCAAATATATCTGTTTTAAATGTGTCCTTGTAAGAAATTCAGATTTAATGTTTTTAAATTTTTTGACCTTAGTGGGGTTTCTTTAATAACTATCGGCTAGTATATTTATCAGACAGATAGCATAACTAGAAGGGATCACAACGTTAATTAAACATGCAAATTTGGCTATTTTACCAATAAATAACATGCCCCACCACCGATAAATAATGGGGACTTTTGTCTTTTGAACGCCCTGGGTCGAGTCAGTATGTGAAATTCCTGCTAAAACCCATGCTCTGCGAATTGAACATATCTAAAGTCATTTTTGCAATTAAAAAACCCTGAATTAACACGGAAAACAATCTGTCCCTGTGAAGCTTTATTTTTCTACCTGCTTCCCCGTTGAAGCTTTGTTTTTTTTTATTCCCTGTTCTAATTGTCTTTGAAGAACATGTCTAGGTGTACTTCATTCAGTTTGTCAAAACAATTTTGTTGTTGTTTGGTTACAAACCACACTGACACTAGAACGCCAGTGTGTGGTACGACATAAGGTGATAACTCTTGCACATCATTTCAGACACGAGCGATATTGTCAGATATAACTTGATTGGAGAGGTCATCAGACCTCTCCACAGTGTTCAGACTGATTGCTGGCGGCATCCATTTTTGCGTATCTGATTGTAGTGAACGAATCCCATTTAAAGCGTAAAATCATTAGGAGCAGTCTACAAAAAATGTTTTGCGCATGCTCCGTTTCAAAATACGACTTAACTTAAACGAAAAATTAACATCGAAGTGAACAAATCGGTACATAAAAAAAATAAATTGTATAAATCGATTACCATATTGTTTTCTGAATAGCGTTTTACTATTTCATGTTCCGATATTTTGTATAATAGTGAACATTACAGGTACAATATCACCATGCACTATTATGCGACAGAGTGAACCATGTACCGAAATTTTGCTGCTCCTTAAACTTTTGAACCGGTATGACTAAATAGCGCCACAGAGATTTTTTGGCGCAAATTGTACAAATTTTACTCACGATTTTCCTAAAATATTGTGGTTGGGGGCATGCACTTTTATATACTGTGTATACAAATCAAATGATATAAACATTTTTTTACTTAAAATTGTTTGATTAACAAACTTTATGCCCGTTTTCGAACACAGGTGCTTGAAAAAAAAAAATTTTATGTTCTATATGGGCTATATACTATAATAAGATATCTTTATATACATATATAGGCCTATTAGGTAAAATATTGATTATGTGACTAGCGCCTGTGGTTTTCGAAAATGGAGAGGAAGTGTTTCCATATACTTACCAAAACATAAACCGAAAATGTGCTTATTGAATTGTATTATAAACTTCTATTTTGATACTACTTTTAATATAAATACATGTGTATATCATTTATGTTTAAATTTAGTTTGATGACATAACACAAATTGTTCCCTTTTAGAAAAAGTATCCCTAATGTGCCAAGAAAAAAGTCCATTTCTCCAGCATATACTTATTCAAAACATATAAAAATGAAGTGTAAAACAAACTTTCATTATGATTCTATATTCGATATATATAATAAATTTTATTTTGTTAAATAATTGTAATTTATAACCATTCATTGTGTCACGGATTTATAAATCCGTGATTGTGTCTTTTATGCAAAAATATCCCAAAATATTTTCGAATTAAACAAATCTTCCACAGCAGCAAGAAAACCTCTCGCATGCTTCTTTTTAAAGAAGCAAACTCGTATAGCCTACTCCTTTATCATATTGTTTCTGGAGTTGTCTCCCTTTACATGTCATGCGTATTTGTTTAAACTATAAACACTAAAGTACGAACGACAATGGTGTTCTCACGCTGATAACTTTACATTGAAATGGTATCAAATAAAAGATCCGTGCTTTGTAAAAGATTTATCAATGATCAAATATTTATTCTCCATACTGTTAATTCATAACAGGTTCGTCAATAATGAGTTTTATAAACGCTGTAAGATTTGTAAATTTATGCATATAATGAATATAAGCTTTACTTAAAGTCTTCACGGTTTTTACCTCTTTCTCTTTTGTAAGTTTTTCTTCTTCTTCTTCTTTCAGATACTTTATTTTTTCATATACTGTTAACATTTTAATCACAACTCAAATTTCTTTTAAATAAAAGCCTGCCTAAATATTTGATTATCAATGAAATTAATTGATACATAAACTATATCAAAAATTTGGCTACCATTATATTTTATTTGTCATTTTCCTTATAAATAAATAAAATAAACAAATAAATATCGCTAACAACTTTTTTGCATAATTTCTTTTTTTATAAGTTTTGGTAATATTCCGAGTTAACAACTTTAATTCAAGATATTGCCTACTTTATATAAGATGACTTTCTGAACAAATGTAGAGTGTCATATTTTGCAATAAATAAAAATGTATTAAGAATTTTTGTATCGTCCTATATGAACACCTAATGCGTGTATTATGTTTTACGCTTCAAGATTCGATCTTATTCTCTGCCTTGATAAATCTATTCTCCATTCTTAATTGAATAGCACAATTTGTTTGATTTCAAGGTAAAATCATTGAAATACCTGATGAATTAACACACAATTGAGAGGTAGATAAAACGTATATATCGTTTAAATAAAAACATTTGGAATTAAAAGGACCATATATCTTTATATTTTGACATTTGTATACATAATGAATAGAGACCGGTTCAAGTTTTTGGAGTTGATAGCATTTATTATCAATTGACTTTGACTTTAACTCGAGACGGGTCAATTAGTTTCAATAAGGTCTAGCCCTAGTGTTGGATAAAACAAATACTTTAATGAACTGGCAATTGTTTATTGATAAACATTGTTCAACATGTATTGAAACATGAAATATACACAAGTGTGAAGTTTAACAATTTAACGATGCGTTAGGATTTTGATATTATGTATTCTTGGAGGCAGGGGAGATTTGGTTTCTGTTGTTGTTCTTTTTTTCAAAATGTAATAATAGATCATTATAAACACGTATATTTTTACAAAAGTTGCATAGGGAAGGAAACCGGTTGTTTAACCGATATATAAAGATGTGTTTTGAAGGCAATCTTTCGATACGAATGTTGATATACATGTAAGTATTTGCGGATGTATGCCATTATTTATTTAAAAGTTTAGCAGGATTTAAACAGAAAATATATGAAAGTATGATTGAACGAATTGATAAAAGTGCGAGGACGTTAAGATGTAACATGGAATAAGAGAATGTATTTCAGAATGGACATGTGACAGTGAAACTATTTAATGTGAAACAATGGAACACGCACATTGTTGCCCGATTCACCAATATCTACATGTAATGTTACCGAGATCCCGTGATCGTACAATCTTCACTCGGTATATCAAACATAGGCTTTTGTATAGTGATTTTTTCATAGCTGTGACCGAGGGAAACGCTACACATTCGAAAATAAAATAAGCGATTGCTAGAAAGTCCTCTGTTCTTTCGAAATATACTAGCTAGTATGTAATATATATTATAGATAAACAATTGCCAGTTATCGAACTAATGAGTTGCTTTCTTTACATATTTTGTAAATTTATACTAATATGGTAAGGAACACGCTGCTATTTAAATTCATAAAATAATTATGATTTTTAAAGTTGTTTAATTAATTATATATTTAATAGAAAGATGTTTGCAATGCAATGCATTTTTAATTTTTCTTTCAAAAGTATTCATGTATAACTTTAATGACATACATTACCAAAGTATGAAATCATTAGGATTAGAGGCTAGACTCAATCAAACCGAGTCGCTTTCAGTTTTGCTGTTAAGTGCGTTCTTTAGGAATTCTGTTTTTCTCTTATTTTTTGGTATCACGTGGAAGTGGTAATCAATCATTATTCAAACATTCTCATGGGATGAAAGTTGTCCTGTCTAGGGTTACTTAGTTCTTTATTCTTTTTAACTAATCTAACTTAAAATATAACATATAACAATGGGGAAAATTTATTAGTGAGATTCGCTAAGGAACGTGCAAAACGGCATAACTGAAAATGTCGCAGACTCGGTTTGACTGACAGTGTAAGATTGATGTTTCAGAGCAGACAGAAACGCTATTACCGTATCCATTAAAAAA